GCAGACGGGGAAGGAGGCGGCGAAGAAGGTGTCGCCTGGGGGCGGCTCGTTGATGGTGTCGACGTCCTGGTGGTCGGCGACCGCCGTGGCCTGGACTCCTCGCAACCATTCCGGCGGGCGTGTGGGCCCTATCACCCGGCCCAGCCTCTTCTCGGCGACGAGCTCGAGGAGGAGCTTCTCAGAGTGTTCGTCGACCCGCGCCGTGTTGACCTTCTTGCGGACGTAATCGGCGTTGGTGGCGATCAGGTCGGCGATGGGCACCGGGTTCTGATATTTCCCGTCCTCGCGTCGCCGCCACCCCGGGCCTGGCCGCACCGGTATCGCCGTGGCCTGTGGCAAAGACGCGGCGGTGTGGACCAGAAGTGCCAAGAGCAGCCGGCGGGCGACCCCCCAATGCCACCCGTTACCCAGAAGGCGGTGGCGGGTGCGGGGTTCGAGGTCGCCTTGCGCCGTTCTCGCCGTGAAGTTCTTCGGCATGTGGTGAAGCTGTTCTTTGGCGACCGGCGTCAGTACCACCAGCTTCCCCTGGTCATCGGCGAGCATTGCCTCTCGCTGGTAATGCCACGGCGCAAACTGGCGGCTGTCCTGGAGCCAGCGCTGTTGAACATCCGTCGTGACCTTGCCCCGCATGGAGCGCGGCGGTGGTCGTCCCCTCTCGTCGGCTGCCGGCGTGGTAGAGCAAGGAAGGCGAATGCGACCAGATGCCACCGCGTCGGAGAACTTGAGGCCGTCGAGGTCGAAGCTGTCTGGCGCCGCCCGCGGCGAGTCCAGGCGAAGGCGGTCCCAGCGGCGGTGCAACACCCAAGTCCACCGTTCCGCCGTGGACGGGTCGTGTGTGACCTCGTCCCAGTCGATGGACGTCCACCACAGGCGTGGCCGTCCGATCCATCCGAAGTCCGCCGCATCGGCGAAAATCGGCTGGCAGCCAAGCTGCTTGGATGCCTCCGCTGCGTCGGCCGGCGTCATTTCGACGTTCTCCACCAGGAAGCCAAAGCGTCGTGGTGCCAATCGGCGGCGGAGCCCGTCCAGGAATTCCGCCGTGAAGTTAAAGAGGTACTCTCTGTTCCCGGCGTGACCGTCGCGATCACCTACGCAGGAGAAGTCCTGGCACGGCGGCGCCGCGGTGAACAAGATGATGCACTCGGCCTGGGCGTCGATGTGTCTGACCTCTGCGGCGATGTCTTCGGGCGTGTCCTCGGTGATGTCGCCGCGGTGCCTAATGCCCGGTATGTGGTGGTCGGCGACCTGTATCGCCGCTCGGTCCACCTCTCAGGTGAAGATGGCCCGGGGCTCGCCGATGAGATCCCATGCCAGCCACGGCGCCGCCCCTACACCGTCGAAGGCCGACATCACTATGACCTCGGCGCCGGAGGGAACACGCGCTGATAGCCTAAGTTTCTTCGGCGGCTGGTCGGGTACCTCGGCGTGGGCGTCGCCCTCCTCCGAGGCCCCGTGCTGTCCCTAGCGGCGGCCGGCGCCCTTGCCGGCGCCCGGTCGCTTCCAAGGTCTGTCGTTCCCGTCGGTGTGTTGGTGTCGCTGGTCGGCGCCGCCGTGGCCCCACCAAGTCTGCTGCTGCTGGTGCTGCTGCTGCTTGCCGCCGCCCCGCGTCGACCACCATGTCTGATCCTGCTGGTGTGCGGCGTCCGTCTTCTTCGGCGGGTCCTGGTCCTTGCCGTCGCGGCCCTTGCCCTTGGGCTTCCCCGGTCGACGGCGCTTGCGGCGGTTGCCGCCGCCCCATGTGTTGGCCCCCGGGTCATCATAGTCCTCCGCGGCGTTGCCGGGATCGGCTGGCGGCAGGGCGGGCGGTCGCCGCGGTGGCGCGGCGTGAGTGATGATCACCTCCTGCCAGGTCGCGACGTCGTTCATGACATACTCCGCCGCCTCGCCGAAGGAGGTGCTGTTCCGGAGCGCCATGGCGATGGTCCACGCCGTCTTGTGGCAAAAGGCCTGGATCGCCGGCACCATCTCGGCGTGCGCCCTCGCCTTGGCCACGAACCAGTCGACATACCTCATCACGTCGTCCTCCTCGCCGATGCCCAAGAGGATCCATGCCCACCTGGCGGCGTTGGCCCCGTCGATCGTCGACAGAAGTCCCTTCGGCGACCATTCGGAGGGTTCCTCGGGCACGAGGGCGCCGTGCTCCAGTCGCAGTGCTTTGGAACCGGCGGATTCCGCCGCACGGTCGGCGGCCAAGGGGTTAAGCACCCGGCCGGGCGTCCACGTACGGCGGCACACAATCTCGCCGAGGGTGACCGGCGTGTACATTTTGGTCACGGTGTGTGCGAACCACATCCGCGCCAGTACCTCC